ATGACAATATAGTACAAAGCCAAAGCTCTGGGATACAGAATTTGGATAATAAGAAAAATGTGCTACATAATTAAGAACTTAGGTACCAGTAGAGGGATAAATATGAAAAATATACAGACTTGATTAGGAGAAAATAACTGAACTTTGTAGAGAATAAGATCAATAACCAAAGAAAAGGCCTAAGTTTTACTGTGAATCAAAATTATAATATTTCTTTGCTTCCTTGACTTTCATTATTTTTGTAATTATGCCTATATATATATTCCAAGTGATACTTCTGATAATGTACACATTTATAACAGGTAAGGATCTTAATAATACAACAGCCCAATTAAAAAATGGGCAAAGTTAGGACCAGAGCAACAGTACAGCAAGTAGGACACTTGGCTTGCACATGGCTCACCTGGGTTCCATCCTCAGCAGACATATTGTGCCCTGAGCCCCCACCAGGAGTGATCCTTTAGTGCAGAGCCAGGAGTAAGTCCCAACCACTGCTGGGTGTGGCACAAAAACTGTCAAAACAAACTGTCCTCCCTTTGTTCATTGATTTGCTCGAGCAGGCTCAGTAACGTCTCCATTGTGAGACTTCTTGTCACTATATTTGGCATACTGAATACTCTCGGTAGCTTGCCGAGCTCTCCAAGAAGGGCAAAGGAATCGAACCCCGCTCTGCGGGGCTGGCTGCGCACAAGGCAAAGGCCCTACCACTGTGCTATCGCTCCACAAAATAAAATAAAATGGGAAAGGATTTGGATAGCCTTTTCTCTAAGTATATGAAGATAGCCAAGAAGCATATGAAAAGACGTTCAACAATATTGGTGATCAGTTAAGTGCAAATAAAAATTACAATGACATTTTACTTCATACCACTTTGAGAGCTATAACCAAAATGATGGACAAAAAATGGTCATTAGGGTATGAAAATTCAGAACCTTCAAATATTGTTCATGGGAATTTAAAATGCAACAACTTTTTTGAAAAACCAACTGCGAGTTCATCTAAAATTAAATACAGAAATATATGACCCAGTAATTCTCTTTATTTGCCCTCAGGAAAACTGCAAACATATGTCTGACAAAAACTTTTGCATGAATTTTCATGAGAGTACTATTATTCACAATAGCCAAAAAGTGAGAATGACTCAATGTCCAACACTAGATGATGGATAACTAAAATGTGGTAATTCCAATAGTAAAATCTTATGCAGCAGAAAAAGAAATACTGAAGTACTTATACATGCTACAATAGAAGAACCTTGATCCTGGAAATGGTTATTCTCACTAAAAGAAGCCAGTCACAAAAGAAAACATACTGTATGAGTTCATGAATACAAGATTCCAGAACAGGGACTGGAGCGGGTAGGGTGTTTGCCTTGCACGTCGCCAACCCGGGCTTGATTCCCAGCATCCCAAATGGTCCCCTGAGCACCACCAGGAGTAATTCCTGAGTGCAAAGCCAGGAGTAAAACCTGTGCATCACCTGGTGTGATTTCCCCCCCCCCCAAAAAAAAGTTTTTAAAACAGGCCTATCTATTAATTTAGAAAGATTAGTTGATGCTTATTTATTTCTCATACTTGTTGAGAAGTATGGAAGTATGGAAATGGAGAGGTCGGGGAGGGGGTAAGGAGAGTAAAAGCTAAAGGGTATAGGGATTACTTCTGAGGTGATTAGAATATTCTAATATTGCAGTGACACCATTTTTTTTTGTATCGTGGGATTCTTCTGGGCCAAAAGTGTGAATGAGTGGTGTTTATTCCCTAAGAACAGCTCTTGACAAAAGATCATGCAACTGTATCTCATAGGGATTTGATTTAAGAAAAAAAGAGAAAGAAAGAAAAGAAAAGAAAGAAAGAAAAAGAAAAGAAATGGGGGTACGGAAATCCTACCTCAGTGAAGAGTTCATCTAGTTATGTTAAGGTCAGGGGGTGATTGCCCTTCCTCCAAGAATGTTTCAGTCCTTGATGTTGAATCATGAGATCACTATACTACTCAGGACAGAGTAAATTGCTAAACTTGAACAAGTAGAGAGAAGGAGAATGAAGGAGAGAGGAACATTCTTGCCAGTCATGGTTATGGGGAGGTCATTCCAAGGGCAGCCTGAGTCCCTTCTCTGTGGAGATGCAGGGTGTGGATTAGATTAGATTTTAGATGATGGTTTCATCGTTTCTCACTGGAGCTGATTCTTTCCAGGCTCCATTCTAACATGGGATGGAGTCTTTCCAACTGCTAATTACTATTAAGTAGGCCATTTTGTAGTGAGGGTGAGGAAGAAGGAATACTAATTCTGAGATATTCCCACAGGTACTAAGAGAATAACAGTGATTAGGAATAGATTTGTCTTAAATGAAAGCCCTTTGTATTTCTTGTCAAATCCTAGCCATAATGCTAGTGTAACTACAGAGATGTGGAAGTATATTTATCCTAAGCCTCTCCAATATAATTAATATAGGAATGTGATCCAATTACCACAGACTTGGCCTTATAACAGCTCAACACATTTCCACTGAACTGCATGGTGCTGACCTGGAGCTGACTCCAGTTCACTATGCCTAGGAAGGGACAGGAATCACCCTATATCTAATAACACCTTATAAGGGAAGAGGAACCTGGAATATTAACTAGTACAGGCTTTCATCATAGCACCTTGTGAAATTTAAATTATTTTAAGGTCCAAATTGTATAAAGCTGCAGGGAGACAGAAGAAGGAAGAAGGAAGAATGAGGAGGAGGAGGAAGAGGACGAAGAGGAAAAGGAGGAAGGAAGAAGAAGAAGAAGAAGAAGAAGAAGAAGAAGAAGAAGAAGAAGAAGAAGAAGAAGAAGAAGAAGAGGAGGAGGAGGAAGAAGATCATCATCATCATCATCAAAGGTAGTTTTTTCCCATTGTCTCTTTTGTTTTTTTGCATTTTGGGTCACACATAGCTTTGAACAGGGGTTACTCCTGGCTCATGCACTCAGGAACTACTCCTGGCAGTGCTCAGGGACCATGAGATGCAGGGAATCGAACCCGGGTCGGCCACATGCAAGGCAAATACCCTACCCACTGTGCTATCGCTTCAGCCCCATATTTTCTCTTTTTTATATATCTGTTTTAATATTTCTTGCTAAAAAATAAAACTAAGTGTGAAGTTGAACAATGCATTCTAGCAGGAAGATGGACTACACAATCAAAACCACCAATAAATAAGCTTTGCTTTAGTTTTGAAATTAGTATTGCTTTCCTTTTAAAATTATGATTTTTGTATTTTAAAAAAATAAAATGTTGGTTTTTCTATGTTATCATACATATTCTTGCCCAGTTAATCCTTTTGTGGAGCAGTCAGGGAAACAAATAAAGAAATATCACAGGAGTTGATGAACTTTCTGCTTTTGCCTCTCACTTTTTCCATGTTCCATCCTTCAAATGGTTCCAACGGAGGCTGGGACTACTTGCATTTCATATTCAGAATAATTCCAGGTATCTAAACTCCCCAAAATGCAATCAGAAAGAGAATTTTTGAAAAGAAAAACACGCTTAACCAATATTTAACCTGGAACTTGGCCACTTGCCAAAATATGCCTTCTTGTTGAGGAAATAAATTAAAAACAGGAGAAGGGAGTGTGGCTGTAACTGGATAAGAGGTCACGTTTTAGTTTTTTTATATGCAGGGTGGAGGAGGACACCAATATGGTTCATCAGTCATCAAGCATTAATCCTCATTAATGCCTCCCATTCAAGTCCATTCTTCTCTATGCAGCTGTGCAAATATAAATTAATTGGATTGGTTTGATAGAGGCATTCAAGAAAAAAAAGGAGTCAAAGAAACTAACTAGATAAATAACACGTGTGGGAAGGCTTGCACAAATTGCTACATCATGTGTTGAGGGGCCTACATTCAGATTTGAACAGCTCTAAACTTTATAGTATGAGAAACCCTGCTGATGTGGAGCGATAGCACAGCGGGTAGGGCGTTCGCCTTACAAGCGGCCAACATGGCCGACCCGAGTTCGATTCCTCCGCCCCTCTCAGAAAGCCCGGCAAGCTACCGAGAGTATTGGATATGCCAGACACAGTAACAACAAAGTCTCCAATGGAGACGTTACTGGGCCCGCTTGAGCAAATCGACGATCAACGGGAGGGCCTTTACCTTTACCTTTTACCTAATAAACTGAATAGCTGTGCTAATGACAAAAATCATTATAGAAATGGCCTGAGTGAAGAGTGATACTTCATACCAAGCAATAAGCACAACTTTTGGTGGCATTTAAATTAATTCCCCAGAGCCCCATTATTCTCATATATGTTTAAGGTAATTTAGGGATTAAGAGGGTAGACCTTTCCTAAAGTCACATGGCAAGTAAGTGGTTCAGGGAATCTGAACATCTAGACATGTCTCTGACCCACTTTAATTCTCTGGCGCCACATGGCATTCTGAACATCACTAAGTGTGGACTTGGAGGCCTGTGAACACTGCTGGGGTGACCCAGGTGGTCTTTGACACCTGAAGGTCTGAGCAGCATTGCATCCTTGGGCCTTAACAATGAACTATTGACCCGATTGGCTAAGCATTGCCAGTAGCGCCCACTTCCCCATCCCAAGCATCCCTTGAGAAGACTGTCAAGATAAATGAACAAAAACTTCCTTTGGGTCTTTAAGCTTCATCAAATTGTTAAAGGAATCCAGATGACACACTGAAAAAGTGAGTTGAAAATATTGACTAGAAAAATGGATCAGGAATATCTGCCTTGTAGTGTCATCTTTAGCACCCAGGGATTTATTCTAATCTCTACTCCTGATAACACATGCATGTATGTGTACTTTGTCACTTGCATCATTTCAGAATTACCTCAACCTTCTTTCAGTGGAGTACTGTTAGATCTACTAGTTTCCAATATCTATAACTGACTTCGCCAATAACTGTAAGTTGAAAGAACACAATTTATTTCATAAATTAAGACAATGGTAATTTGTATTTTAAAAGTCCAAGTTCAAAAGAGTCATCAAAAGAAACTTTAATACTTACCGGATACCAACGGGCTTCTGATGGACTCTGGCTTCCATCTTGCCTAATCAGCACTGCTGATAGAAGTTCCATTATTCTCCTACCAGGCAATAAGAGGCCTTTTCTCTTCTGATCAATGTAACTCCAAGCTTCCAGTCCAATGTGACCAGAAGGTAGGGTCCTTACAATTGCCCTGGTGCCAGTATACACAGATTTCTTAACTTCCCTGTCATTTTTACAAAATCTCCTCACTAACAAGGTGGAACGCTCCTTTTTGCTTTTAAAAAAGTCTTCTTCTGTATCTTCGCAATTATCAGGGAAGTCCTCAAGATGGTTTATAAAGGTTTTGGCAGATGGAACATCAGGGAAGTCCTGCCTGCAAAAGTTGTCATTTGGACATATGATGTGGGTCTTGCCACAGGAACCTTCACAGCACAAACATTTATCAGTCGAGGTGTCACAATGGTCACAATGCAGCTGCCCATTTTTATTGTCACAGTTATCTTCCAGTTCCATCAATTCACAAGTGTATGCTATATGCTTATTCTTTTGCTCCCCTGTAACACCAGGCAGTGGGACACAGTTTCCACAATCATCCAAAATCAGGTTATCTGAAAGTGCACAGAAAGAGTCTGACATTCTTCTGTCCACTTCATAATGAAAGTGAAAGACCGCCCTGTCACTGCCAGGGTGTGTCCTACTGGACTTTATAATCGATGACTGATTTCCTAAGGAACTAATGCCCAGTGGAGGTCCATCAATTTCCAGTGGAATTCCAGGGAACACCTTTCTTTCCAGGGAAGAAGGAATTCCAGTTTCTAAACACATGCCCTCCTCTGGGATAGGCTCACACCTTTCATAAAACTGGCTCTGAGGAAGGCCACACTGATGGTTTTTCAATATATTATTGCAGTTAATATTAAGGTTTTTCACAGAATCTGGCATGCTTTGATCCCAGCAGTTTTCATTACTGTTTTCATCACTCATTATTTTCTCTTCTGCCAGTGAGAGAATTTGGGGCAAGTTGCTTCCAGAAGATTCTTTTTTAAGCTTGTTCAGCTGTAAGATGGTATGAGAAGTTGGCCTGCTCTGATTGACAGTGTGTTGCTTTGGAACCCTAATGTCTGAATCCTTTTCACTATTTTCATCTACAGCAGACTGAGAAGATACCACTTTTCTCTGAGACACAGGTATAAGAACAGAAGCTGTCATTTCTTCAGAAGTCATCTTGACCCACACACAGGTTTCAGTTCTTGCTCAGTTTATCTTGACTTGTGAACATTTCAAGATTTTATTCAAATAACAGACAAAATAAATCTCAGATATATGAGAAAAAAAGTCAATTTCTTCTCTTCAGGTACATTAAGAGCCAAGTAAATTTCTCCAGTTATATCTTATCATATGCAATATGTTCTTCTAAATCAGAGTCTTATGGTGGTCTATCCATTATCCTATCTCTGTTACCTGAAGCAAATCGCATTCTGCAACTTCTGATCCATCATTAACATGCAATGACAAAATTCCAGTTTGAATGTTTCCTGTGAAAAAAGGGGGAGAGGTGGAGAGTGATCATGTCAAGTGCTGTACAAAAAGTCATTTTCAAATAAAATAATTTCCTAAACATACAAAAATAAAACTAATTTTGATTAGAAAAGATTTGAGATAAATTATTTTTTAATTTTAGATACTTATTTTTCTGATTGAATATTTAAGAACTTCTATTTCCATAGAAAGGGATTTATCCTCCTGCTTTAAAAAGTTAAAGAAAAAAACAGAAATAAAACAGAAATAATGGTTTTTCAAACACTGAATAACAAGAAACAGAACAGTGATCCTGGAAAAACAACAACAGAAACAAATTGGGTGAGTTATAAATATTCTAATGTAGTGTTTCCCAAGTGGATAATACTGCTTTGTGAAAGGTACTGGTATAACGATGGGTACAGTAGAATTCTTGGGTATAATTGGGGGACACTTCCTATTTGTTCATTTTAAAAACATAATTTCCAGGGGCAAGAGTAATAGTACATTGAAACGGTAATAAAAACAAAAGTCTCCCCAAAAGCAAAAGTCCTGGCCCAGATGGATTCACTAGTAAATTCTTCCAAATCTTTAAAGAAGACTTACTCCAATCTTTTTCAAGCCTTTCCAGGAAATAGAAGAATCAGAAACACTGATACCAAAAGCAGAGAGAGATAGCACAAAGAAAGAGAATTACAGATCAATATCCCTGATGAACACAGGTGTAAAGATCTTCAACAAGATCCTAGCAAACAGAATCCAACACAAAATCTTAGCAAACAGAATCTAACAACTCATCAAAAAGATCATACACCTGACCAAATGGGATTCATTCTGGGATGCAAGGATGGTTTAACACTCACAAGTCAATCAGCATAATTCAACATACCAATAAAAGAAAAGATAAAAAATATATAATCATATCAGCAGATGCAGAGAAAGCAAAGAAAGCAAGATCCAGCACCCATGCATGATTAAAAACTCAACAAACTAGGAATTCAAGGAGCTTGCCTCAGTTTAGTCAAAGCCATCTAACACAAGCCCACAGCAAGTATCATTCTCAATGGGGAAAAATTAAAAGCCTTTCCCTAAGATTGGGGACAAGACAAGGTCACCCACACTCACCACTTCTATTCAATATAGTATTGGAAGTTCTTGCCATAGCAGCTAGGCAAGAAAAAGATATCAAGGGCATCCAGATAAGAAAGGAAGAGGTCAAGCTATCACTATTTGTGGATGATATAATATTATACTTAGAAAATCCTAAAGACTCTACACAAACGCTCCTAGAAACAATAGGTCTATATAGTAAAGTGACAGGCTACAAAATCAACACCCAAAAATTCATGGCTTTGCTATATACAAATAATAAAAGAAAAGAAAGAGATATTTAAAAAAAACAATCTCGTTCACAATGTGCCTCAGAAAATCAAGTAGCTTGGAATCAACTAAAGAGGTAATACAAAGAAAATTACAGAACATTACTTCGAGAAGTAAAAGAAGGCACTAGAAAATGGAGACACATCTCCTGCTCATGGATGGGAGGATTAACATTGTCAAAAATGGCAATATTTCCCAAAGCATTGCACAGATTCAACGTGGTCTTTATAAGGATACCCATGACATTCTTCAAAGAAATAGACAAAACACTCCTGAAATTCACATGCAACAATAAACCCCCACGAATAGCTAAAGCAATTCTTGGGAAAAACAAGATGGATGGCATCACCTTCCCTGACTTCAAACTGTACTACAAAGCAGTAGTAATTAAAACAACATGGTGTTGGAATAGAAACAGACTCGCAGATCAATGGAACAGAGTTGAATATTCTGTCATAGACTCTCAAATATATGATCACTTAATTTTTGATAAAGGAGCAAGAAATGTGAAGTGGAGCAAAGAAAGCCTCTTCAACAAGTTGTGCTGGAAAAACGGATCAGCTAATTGCAAAAATAGATCTCTATCTAACACCAGGCACAAAAGCCATATCAAAGTGGATTAAAGACTCAATATCAGACCTGAATCCATAAGATACATGGAGGAAAATTTAGTCAGAACCCTGGATGATATTTGAAGCTAAAGGCATCTTTTAGGATGAAACACCACTGACCAAGCAAGTGGAAACAAATATAAACAAATGGGTCTACATTAAACTAAGAATCTTCTGCACCTCAAAAGAAACAGTGACCAAAATACAGAGAGAGTCCGCTGAATGGAAAAAATCATTTACCCAATACCCTTCAAATAAGGGGTTAATATTCAGGATATACAAGACATTAGTAGAACTGTACAAGAAAAATACCTCCAACCCCATCAAAAAATGGGGAGAAGAAATGAACAGAAACTTCCTCAAAAAAGAAATACCAATAGCTAAAAGCACGTGAGAAAATGTACTACATCACTAATCATCAGGGAGATGCAAATAAAAATAATGAGATATCATCTTACACCACAGAGACTGGCACACATAAAAAAAAAAAAAACAAGAACAAGAACAACCAGTGCTGACACGGATGTGAGGAGAAAGTGACTCTCTTTCATGTTGGTGTAAATGCTGACTGGTCAAAACTTTCTGGAAAACAATATGGGCATTCATCAAAACACTAGAAATTGAGCTTCCATCTGACCCAGCAATACCACTTCTGGGAATAGATCTCGAAGGTGCAAAAAAGCACAGTAAAAATGACATCTGCACCTGTATATTCATTGCAGCACTGTTCACAATAGTCAGAATCTGGAAACAACCCGAATGACCAAGAACAGACGGCTGGTTAAAGAAACTTTGGTACGTCTACAAAATGGAATACTATGCAGCTGTTAGGAAAGATGAAGTCATGATATTTGCTTATGAGTGGATGATCATAAAGAATATCAAGATCAGTGAAATGAGTCAGAGAGGGACAGACATAGAATGACTGCACTCATTTGTAGAATATAAAAACAACATAATATGAGACTAACACCCAAGTAAAGACAAAAGCCAGGATGATTTCTCCATATTGGAAGCCTGCCTCAGGATCCGGAGGAGAAGGCAGCCGGAATAGAGAAGGGATCACTATGTCAATGATTGTTGGAGGGATCACTCAGGCTGGGAGATGTGTGCTGAAAGTAGATACAGGAGAAAATGTGATAACCTCTCAGGATCTATATTGCAAACCATAATGCCCAGAAGTAGAGAGAGAGTAGCACTGTAGCATTGTCCTCCCATTGTTCATCGATTTGCTTGAGCGGGACCAGTGATGTCTCCATTGTGAGACTTCTTGTGACTGTTTTTGGCATATCGAATATGTCACGGGGAGTTTGCCAGGCTTTGCTTTGCAGGTGGGATACTCTTGGTAGCTTGCCAGGCTCTCTGAGAGTAAGAAGGAAGTTATTTGCCATAGAGGCAAGAAGTGGGGTTGGGAGGGTAGAGCAGGAGGGATACTGGGGACATTAGTGGTTGAAAATGTACACTGGTGGAGGGATAGGTGTTTGAAAATTCTATGATTAAAACTCAATTATGAAAGCTTTGTAGCTGTATTTCACAGTGATTCAATTAAAAAAAGAATAATAGTGCAACAGATAGGGCATTTGCCTTGCACATGACCAACTTTTTCAATCCCTGGCACCCCATACTGTCCCCTGAGCCAGCCATGAGTGATCTCTCAGTGCAGAACCTGGATTAAGCCCTGAGCACCACTGGGTGTAGCCCCCAAAACAAACAAACCAGGAAAAAGAGTATCTTTCAAGGGGAGTTTTGAGTGAATATTTTTTCTAAAAAAAGGGGGGTAGGCCAAATAAATTTGAGGCTCTTTGGCCTAGTTCATAGCATAGAGACATTCTAGACTAAAATGAAAAAAAGGAATCTAGACAAGACACAATGATATTCCCTGTTCAGAGGAAAAGCTGAAAGTTCAATAAGACCATGGTGATACAGAAAAAATGAGACATTAAGGAGTTAAGGTTAAGACTTCTCACTAGAAACAGTTCAAATTATAAGAGTGGAGTAAAATCATCAAAGTACACACAGCGATAGCACAGCAGTAGGGCGTTTGCCTTGCACTCAGCCAGCCAGCGGGGTTTGATTCCTCCACCCCTCTCGGTGAGCCCAAAAAGCTACCAAGAGTATTCAAATATGCCAAACACAGTAACAACAAGTCTCAAAATGGAGACGTTACTGGGCCCGCTCGAGCAAATCGATGAGCCACGGGAGGACTAAAGAAAAAATATAACCAGTGTGGAACTCTATACCCAGCAAAAATATTTATTTAAACTAAGTTGGCATACCTTTTAGAATTTAGAAAACTGAAAGAAATCATCACTGAAAATCCTGTGTAAAGGAAGTCCTTTAGGCAAAAGGGCAGAATGATCCCTGAGCACAGAGCCAAGAGTAAGCTCTGAGCACAGCAGCTTGTACCCTCACCACCACCAAAATATTTTCTGTATCAACACAAAGAAATAAAAAGCATGGAAAATATGTGAATCAGTAGTCTCTCTTTTAAAATCACTTTAGGTAAGTGACCATTTTAAAGAAAAATTTATGACAGTGAATTTTTTCTACCACAAAATTTTATTAGAAATGTGGTAGCAAAATATATGACAATTATAGCACAAAAGTCCAAAGGTCAAGAGAAGGGAAACTGAAGAATATTCTTGCGAGATTCTTTTCTATGTGAATTGACACAGCATTATTTAAGGATAGAAGTCATAAGCAAAAGGTACATACTATAAGCCCTTGTAGTCACTTTTTAAAATATGAGGAAAACAATTCAAGATATTAAAATTATAAAAACTCAAATGCTAAAATAAAAGACAAAAATAAGGAAAAGGTAAACAACAAATGTGACCACCGGGAAGCAAACAGTAGATTTACACCATTCAAAAACCATCTCCAGGCAGTGCTTCCATACTCTCCATGTCTCCAAATATAAAATGTTCAACTGTGCTTTATTTTATTAAGAAAATACTTATTTGAATGATGATAGACAAAAAATCCAATTTACAAAAGGCTTAATTTTTAGAATAATAATTTAGTCT